GGTACTCTTGACTTATTATGACTTATTTGGTGATGATGATCCTGTGATAAATAGCAAAATAATGGGGACCTCTCCCAGTCAGTGGCTGAGCACGTAGCTTATTGCCCACCAAACATTGTCGTGGGTTTACCATCAGACATGCTGGTTGGTGATGGGTATGTCCGCAACAAAACTGGTTGCTGTTTTGCTTTACCCTCTGGTAAACTAACACAACTATCAAAAATCACCATTTTGAATGGGTAAATCAACTATTTCTATGGCCATTTTCAACAGCTACGTTAAATTACCAGAGGGTATATGTCTATGATGATCAAAATTGACTTTCGTAGTTTTGATGGGTGCCTCAACCTCCAACCCTCTTGGATTGTTTGCTCCACATTTTCCGGTTTGTTGGTTACACCCTCATTGTATCCCGATTTCATGGGTCTTGTTCCCAGCCCATCCATTGTATGTTTATGAGATACAATCCACTTAGAAGTTGATTTTGCCACTGCAGGATGACTCTTTAAACTTTAAATACAACTTCATGCCACTTCGCCTTCTGTCCGGTTGTGTTTGTGTTACCTTCTATTTTAATCTATGTTAGATGATTCAGTGATTAAGTTTCTATTATCGTCAACTCCCCATAGTTCTAGTTCAGTCATGTTCCCCTGGATGGTCATCTTCCGCCTTGCTTCGATCTTAAAGATCTTATAAAGGTTGATCCATTTCTGGTTGGTGGGGACTGGAACCATGGAATTATTTATGACTTTCCATATATTGGGAATGTCATCATCCCAACTGACGAATTCATATTTTTCAGAGGGGTAGGTCAACCACCAACCAGATATACATATATATGAATATATAGCAGTTACTTTTCATATCCCCATTTGTGTTGCTTTAATCCCATTCATATCACCATTAAATGCCACATTACCACATTACCAGAGTATTAACCATCCATTTTTACCAATTTTGACCCATAGGCACTTGGATTATCTTGGGTTATCCCCATAAAATACCATATTAAATGGTTCAAGGTCCAAGGTGGTGCCCCCCCAGTGATGTTTGTTGGTTTATAAACCCCATTAACTTATAGATATATCTACCATAAACCATAGTTATTGAAGCTATAAACCAACTTAGCTAACTATGGGGCACCACCTTGTTGGTTCACCTTTCGAAAAACTCATGGAATTCACCTGGCGTCGCCGGGGCGTCACCAGACCGAGCGCGCGCGTTTGCTCTTCGAAGCGGTCTTCGTTCGCTCGAGGAAGGCCCAGGTCGGCGACTGGTGAGCTGCGACATGCTGCGACCGTTGAGCTGTTGGCATCACTGGCTATTCCTCAAAATTAATACCATTTTTAGGGGAATGAACATCCATTTACCAGCTATTTTGATGTTCACCAGGGGTACAAGGGTTTTGACACATTGCCAAATGACTATTTCTTGGGGAAAATGATGATGATTGGATGTTTTATCCATATTTGGGGGTTGAAAATGATGATGATGAACCATGAAATATGATCCATATTTCACACATGCTCCTCAATATATTTGAAAATGATGATGAACCATGAAATTTTGGAGCCAAATATTTTCAGACAAAGCCACTTAAAGTTGGGTTTGGACGAAGAAAAAGTATGGTGGGTGGGTATCTGGAATGTGATTCAAATCGGGATTCACTGCCGAAGGCGATGGTGGTGGCTGGGAGAATTCCAGTGGACTTTCTCTCCTCTGTGAAGGTGCGCGATACGACTGTCTATGATACATCTCACCATCCATACAGCATCCATATGGCATAGAGGAATGTCATATTGTATCATCATTTATCTCCAAAACTGCAGGTTTCTTGGATTTTGCTGGGCAAATCAGTTGGTCGACAAATACCACGATGACTAGTCACCACAGTCGCCAGATGCACCGTGTGGCTTCCGTGGTGCTGCGACGTCTTTTGGCCAGGCGGGATCAAAGATTGAAGGGGTTCGCCCTAGAGTTATGTAGATCAGATATAGTATTATAGTATAATATATGTGTCTACTAAGACTATATATATATAAGTTGTACTTTATACTGTACCCTTTTTCAATGCTTGCACCAAGTTCTGTGCTTTCTGAACGGTGGATTTTATCTTGGAATGTTGTCTTTCCGCTTGTTTATCCATGCCTTTGACACCAGATTTTCCGTTTGATTGGGCCACACGGGTCCAGTCTTCACATTTCAATGGCATACTACAACGTGGTGCCCCCCCAGTGATGTTAGTTGGTTTATAAACCCCATGAATACTATAGATATATCTACCATAAACCATAGTTATTGGAGTTATGTTCACCAACTTAGCTAACTATGGGGCACCACCTTATAGCAGGTTTTGCATGGTCTGCCTGCTTGTGGCTTTTGCTTGAGGATTTGCTAGTCCCCACATTCCAGCAGAGATTTGCACTGGAGATTTGTGTACTTCTGAACTGGACATCGAATTCTCACTCTTGCCCAAGCTCTTGGCTCCAAGTTGTTCAGAAGTTCCAAGGATCAATGTTATGTAATGTTATGTCTATCATTTCATATCATGGTTGTGACTAACTAGTAGATCTGAGATGATTCCTTAAACCAGGCCATCTAGTTTGGCATCAGACTAGTAAGTCGTTAGTCTTCGTGTGTACCAAATCCATGCCAATGTCCTTTTAGTTCCAGGTCATTGGATTGGTTTAGGGGAAAATCTACAGGTTTTTCCATGGTTTTTCCATGGTTTTTCCATGGTGTTTCCCGTGAAAAGCATGGGGCTTTCCTACAAACTGTCCCTTAAAGCAATCCAATGATTCAGGGTGAAGCCCCCCATAAATTATGAACCTCCAAAATCACCATGGTTTGATGATCTAAATCAACTTGAATCTCAATTATTTATTGATAAATCATGTTTTTTTTCAGAATCATAAGTCGTGACAAATCCATATAAATCCATAGTTTTTGATGATACATCATGATAAATCCATACATGTTTGATGCCGTAAACCATTTTTTTTCATGGCAGGCCCGTAAATCAACTCGTTGTGCTGAATCGCCAGGTATGAATCCCTCAGCAGGGCTGACCTGTGTCATCTGCTGGACAACGTGCTCCTGGAGGCGCCTCGAGTTTAGCTTTTGCGACCAGTAGGGTACTGCAAGGTAGGGTACATTGATGAACTGGTTGGTGGTTTGAAACATTTTTTATTTTTCTATATATCGGGAATCATAATCCCAACTGACTTTCATATTTTGCAGAAGGGTAGGTATACCACCAACCAGTGAATGAATGGTCTACCAAAGCGAAGCAAGATCAGGTAGCCTCCTGTAAATGTTTAGATGTGCTTTATCCATGTGTATAATTAGATCATGTTCCGAAGGGGAGACCATGGGTTTTCATGGGTTTTCCACATCCATGTTGGTTTACCCCAGGGTATGAAATTGGGATCGAAGCAACGAAGAGTGGAGACAGGTTTGGTGCCGGAACAGAGACCATACATGACCAGAAACCCCATGGTTTCTGATCACTAAAAACCGTAGCCCAATTAGATCCAATTAGAATAGCCAGAAATTGGCTTATAATCAATGGCCATGACTCAGGAACCAATTCATTGGAGGTATCTACCATATATAAGGCCTATATAAGGCTCCTGAAATTCCCATTGATATAAGGCTCAAATTCCCTATTTCTGGACAAACCCCAATTGGAATGGGATGGATGGTCGGGTTGATGTCGATGCAACATGATGTAACTTCGAAGCCGAGCTTCTCTGTGTCATAAAGTGACATTAAATCCCAGGGATCTCCATGCATGTCATTCGGCGCAGCAGTGAAATCCGGGATGCTTGCTGCAACAGCAAACAGCAAGCATTCAATTTTTTTAAACCCAGAACTGCTGGTCACAGTCACATTCCACATTTTTTTTGTGTGATCCATTGGTGGTGCACGTGATACCCTCAGTCTCTGAGACTCGTTTCCAGAGGATCCACGCGGATTCGAAAAAAGGTAATCCTGGGATTACCCTGGTGAAGTCCCCGATTAGATTCTTCCTATCCCAGTAAATCTGGGTGAACTAGCCTGGTGAGTAAGTTCCCGATTCCTATTTGTTATCCATGTTATCCCAATATTATTGCGATATAAGTTACAAGTTACAAGTTATAACATGTTATGACACCACTTAGTAAGCCAGGTAATTAATATAACCCATCTCCATCCGAGTCTCCGAGTTATGGCCAGTTAGAACACAGCCCGTTTCCGCCACGTTTCCCGGAAGATGATGCTCGTCCTGCACCAGGACTTCAGGGAAGAAAAGCACTGTCACGACCTGGTCCTAAACAACGCCCTGGTGCAGGACGTCGGGGTTGTGTCTGGGCCGGTGGGAAATCTTGGGTGAATGGATGTGAATGGCCGAATGAATGAAGATAGCGAAGTGGGACATCGGCATGTTTGATAGGTAAATCATCCATACATGGCCATTTTTACATGGCCATGTTTGTTTTTTCTTTCCCAAAAGCATCTTCGATGCTTGGGTTCTCGTTTAGTTGTTTAACCGCGTGGGGGAGCGACCTGGCTCGAACGGTGGTGTGCGGACGGCGTGGGTGCAAGGGAAAGGAAAGGAAAGGAAAGGAAAGGAAAGGAAAGGAAGGGAAAGGAAAGGAAAGGAAAGGAAGGGAAAGGAAGGGAAAGGAAGGGAAAGGAAGGGAAAGGAAGGGAAAGGAAGGGAAAGGAAGGGAAAGGAAGGGAAAGGAAGGGACAGGAAGGGAAAGGAAGGGAAAGGAAGGGAAAGGAAGGGAAAAGGAAGGGAAACGAAGGAAAAAGGAAGGGAAACGAAGGAAAAAGGAAGGAAAAAGGAAGGGAAAGGAAGGGAAAGGAAGGGAAAGGAAGGGAAAGGAAGGGAAAGGAAGGGAAAGGAAGGGAAAGGAAGGGAAAGGAAGGGAAAGGAAGGGAAAGGAAGGGAAAGGAAGGGAAAGGAAGGGAAAGGAAGGGAAAGGATGGGAAAGGAAGGGAAAGGATGGGAAAGGAAGGAAAAGGGCAGGGAAAGGAAGGGAAAGGAAGGGAAAGGAAGGAAAAGGAAGGGAAAGGATGGGAAAGGAACGGAAAAGGATGGGAAAGGAAGGGAAAGGAAGGGAAAGGATGGGAAAGGAACGGAAAAGGATGGGAAAGGAAGGGCAAGGAATGGAGCGGACGGCTGCGGACGGGGAATGGGTTCGGAGAAGTGCGTGGACGGCTGCGGACGGCGTGGGTGCAACGGAGTGGCTGGAAATGGGTGGGGAGAAGAAGCCGCTGGTGATGAGCGACCTTGGCTGCGCGGACGGCTGCGGACGGGGAATGGGTGCGGAGAAGTGCGCGGACGGTTGTGGATGGCGCGAGTGCAACGGCGTGGCTGGAAATGGATGGGGAGAAGAAGCCGCTGGTGATGAGCGACCTTGGCTGCGCGGACGGCTGCGGACGGCAAATGGGTGCGGAGAACTGCGTGGACGGCTGCGGACGGCATGGGTGCAACGGAGTGGCTGGAAATGGGTGGGGAGAAGAAGCCGCTGGTGATGAGCGACCTTGGCTGCGCGGACGGCTGCGGACGGCAAATGGGTGCGGAGAACTGCGCGGACGGCTGCGGACGGCGTGGCGTGGGTGCAAGGGGGTGGCTGGAAATGGGTAAGGAGAAGAAGCCGCTGGTGATGAGCGACCTTGGCTGCGCGGACGGCTGCGGACGGCAAATGGGTGCGGAGAAGCGCGGTGACGGCTGCGGACGGCGTGGGTGCAACGGGGGTGGCTGGAAATGGGTGGGGAGAAGCTGCGCGGACGGCTGCGGACGGCAAATGGGTGCGGAGAACTGCGCGGATGGCTGCGGACGGCGTGGGTGCAACGGAGTGGCTGGAAATGGGTGGGAGAAGAAGCCGCTGGTGATGAGCGACCTTAGCTGCGCGGACGGCTGCGGACGGCGGGTGCAGAGAACTGCGCGGATGGCTGCGGACGGCGTGGGTGCAACGGAGTGGCTGGAAATGGGTGGGGAGAAGAAGCCCCTGGTGATGAGCGAGCTTGGCTGCGCGGACGGCTGCGGACGGCAAATGGGTGCGGAGAACTGCGTGGACGGCTGCGGACGGCGTGGGTGCAAGGGGGTGGCTGGAAATGGGTGGAGAGAAGAAGCCGCTGGTGATGAGCGACCTTGGCTGCGCGGACGGCTGCGGGCGGCAAATGGATGCGGAGAACTGCGCGGACGGCTGCGGACGGCGTGGGTGCAAACGGAGTGGCTGGAAATGGGTGGGGAGAAGAAGCCGCTGGTGATGAGCGACTTGGGCTGCGCGGACGGCTGCGGACGGCAAATGGGTGTGGAGAACTGCACGGACGGCTGCGGACGGCGTGGGTGCAAGGGGATGGCTGGAAATGGGTGGGGAGAAGAAGCCGCTGGTGATGAGCGACCTTGGCTGCGCGGACGGCTGCCGGCAAATGGGTGCGGAGAACTGCGTGGACGGCTGCGGACGGCGTGGGTGCAATGGAGTGCTGGAAATGGGTGGGGAGAAGAAGCCGCTGGTGATGAGCGACCTTGGCTGCGCGGACGGCTGCGGACGGCAAATGGGTGCGGAGAACTGCGCGGACAGCTGCGGACGGCGTGGGTGCAAGGGGCTGGCTGGAAATGGGTGGGGAGAAGAAGCCGCTGGTGATGAGCGACCTTGGCTGCGCGGACGGCTGCGGACGGCAAATGGGTGCGGAGAACTGCGTGGATGGCTGCGGACGGCGTGGGTGCAACGGAGTGGCTGGAAATGGGTGGGGAGAAGGGAAAGGAAGGGAAAGGATGGGAAAGGAAGGGACAGGAAGGGAAAGGAAGGGACAGGAAGGGAAAGGAAGGGAAAGGATGGGAAAGGAAGGAAAAGGGAAGGGAAAGGAAGGGAAAGGAAGGGAAAGGAAGGGAAAGGAAGGGAAAGGATGGGAAAGGAAGGGGAAAAGGAAGGGAAAGGAAGGGAAAGGATGGGAAAGGAACGGAAAAGGATGGGAAAGGAAGGGAAAGGAATGGAGCGGACGGCTGCGGACGGCGTGGGTGCAAGGGAGTGGCTGGAAATGGGTGGGGAGAAGAAGCCGCTGGTGATGAGCGAGCTTGGCTGCGCGGACGGCTGCGGACGGGGAATGGGTGCGGAGAAGTGCGCGGACGGTTGCGGACGGCGTGGGTGCAACGGAGTGGCTGGAAATGGGTGGGGAGAAGAAGCCGCTGGAGATCAGCGAGCTTGGCTGCGCGGATGGCTGCGGACGGCGTGGGTGCGAGGGAGTGGCTGGAAATGGGTGGAGAAGAAGCCGCTGGTGATGAGCGAGCTTGGCTGCGCGGACAGCTGCGGACGGCAAATGGATGGGAAGAATTGCGCGGATGGCTGCGGACGGCGTGGGTGCAGGGAGGGTCGGGAGAAGAAGCCGCTGGGGATGGGCGAGCTTGGCTGCGCGGACGGCTGCGGACGGCAAATGGGTGGGGACGGCTGCGGACGGCGTGGGTGCCAGGGAGTGGCTGTAAATGGGTTGGGAGAAGAAGCCGGTGGAGATGAGCGACCTTGGCTGCGCGGACGGCTGCGGACGGGAAATGGCCGCGGAGAATTGGCGGACGGCTGCGGACGGCGTGCGTGCAACGGAGTGGCTGGAAATGGGTGGGGAGAAGAAGCCGCTGGAGATCAGCGAGCTTGGCTGCGCGGACGGCTGCGGACGGGAAATGGGTGCGGAGAATTGCGCGGAGGGCTGCGGACTGCGTGGGTGCAACGGGGTGGCTGGAAATGGGTGGGGAGAAGAAGCCGCTGGAGATCAGCGAGCTTGGCTGCGCGGCGGCTGCGGACGGCAAATGGGTGGGGAGAATTGCGCGGACGCCTGCGGACGGCGTGGGTGCCAGGGAGTGGCTGGAAATGGGTGGGCGGACGGCGTGGGTGCGAGGGAGTGGGTGGAAATGCGTGGGGAGAAGAAGCCGCTGGGGATGAGCGAGCGTGGCTGCGCGGACGGCTGCGGACGGCAAATGGGTGCGGAGAATTGCGCGGACCGCTGCGGACGGCGTGGGTCAAGGGAGTGGCTGGAAATGGTTCGGGAGAAGAAGCCGCTGGTGATGAGCGAGCTTGGCTGCGGACTGCAAATGGGTGGGGAGAATTGCGCGGACGGCTGCGGACGGCGTGGGTGCAAGGGAGTGGCTGGAAATGGGTTGGGAGAAGAAGCCGCTGGAGATGAGCGAGCTTGGCTGCGCGGACGGCTGGCTGCGGACGGGAAATGGGTGCGGAGAATGGCGCGGACGGCTGCGGACGGCGTGGGTGCAAGGGAGTGGCTGGAAACAGGCGGGGAGAAGAACAAGATGCAGCCCACGAACCCGAATGCTCACACGTACGTTAATGGATATGCAGTCACTCAGAACACTTTTCTGCAATAGTTTATTTGAACAGTCTTGTATATACATACTTCCCCTGTTACCAGTCTGCAGTGTGGAGTGTAAAGTGTGGAGTGTGGAGTGTAAAGTGTAGTGTGTGGAGTGTAAAGTGGGAAGTGTGGAGTGTAAAGTGTGGAGTGAGGAGTGTGGAGTGAGGAGTGTGGAGTGTGCAGTGGGTAAAGTGTGGAGTGTGGAGTGTAGAGTGTGGAGTGTAAAGTGTAGACTGTGGAGTGTGGAGCGTAAAAGTGTGGAGTGTAAAGTGTGGAGTGTAAAGTGTGGAGTCCAAAGCGTGGAGAGGAAAGCGTGGAGTGTAAAGTGTGGAGTGTGGAGTGTAGAGTGTAAAGTGTAGAGTGTAAAGTGTAGAGTGTGGAGTGTGGAGTGTAAAGTGTGGAGTGTGGAGTGTAAAGTGTTGAGTGAGGAGTGTAAAGTGCAAACTGTAAAGTGTGGTGTGTAAAGTATAAAGTGTGGAGTGAGGAGTGAGGAGTGTAAAGTGTAGAGTGTGGAGTGGAAACTGTAGTGTGCGGAGTGTGGAGTATAAAGTGAGGAGTGTGGAGTGTAAAGTGTGGAGTGTAAAGTGTAGAGTGTGGAGTGTAAAGTGGGAAGTGTGGAGTGTGGGGTGTAAAGCGTGGAGTGAGGAGTGTAAAATGTAAAGTGTGGAGTGAAAAATGTAAAGTGAAGAGTATGGAGTGTAAAGTGTAGAGTGTGGAGTGTGGAGTGGAAAGTGCAGAGTGTGAAGTGTGGAGTGGAAAGTGTAGAGTGCGGAGTGTGGAGTGGAGTGAGGAGTGTAAAATGTAAAGTGTGGAGTGAGGAGTTGAAAATGTAAGTGTGGAGTGTAGAGTGTAAAGTGTACAGCGTAAAGTGTAGAGTGCGGAGTGTGGAGAGTAAAGTGTGGAGTGTAAAGTGTGGAGTGAGGAGTGCAAAGTGCAAAGTGTAAAGTGTGGAGTGAGGAGTGAGGAGTGTAAAGTGTAAATTGTGGAGTGAGGAGTGTGGAGTGTAAAGTGTGGAGTGTGGAGTGGAAAGTGTAGTTTGTGGAGTGTGGAGTGTAAAGTGTGGAGTGTGGTGGAGTGTGGGGTGTAGAGTGTGGAGTGTGGTGGAGTGTGGGGTGTAGAGTGTGGAGTGTGGTGGAGCGTGGGGTGTAGAGTGTGGAGTGTGTAGGAGTGTAAAGTGTGGAGTGCAAAGTTTAAAGTGTGGAGTCCAAAGTGTAAACTGTGGAGTGTAGAGTGTAAAGTGTAGAGTGTGAATGGGGGAGTGGAAAGTGCAAAGTGTAAATTGTAGAGTGTGGTGTGAGGAGTGTAAAGTGTAAATTGTGGAGTGAGGCGTGTGGAGTGTAAAGTGTGGAGTGTAGAGTGTGGAGTGGAAAGTGTCGAGTGTGGAGTGTGGCGTGTAGAGTGTAAAGTGTAAAGTGTGGAGTGAGGAGTGTGCAAAGTGTAGGGTGTGGTGGAGTGTAGAGTGTGCAGTGTGGAGTGTAGAGTGGGGAGTGTAGTGTAAAGTGCCACCCCTGCCACGCAAAACGACATGACAACCTGCTTGGAAACCTTCGAAAAGGAGAGATTTTGCAGCTTCCCCCATAGACACGGCGACGCCACAGGAAAACCAGAGACTTGAGACGAGAGATGTGGGAGCATCAAAACGAGCCTTTCGTGCGAGACTTCCTCCAATTTTCACACTTTGTAGCTTCAAAATTTTCCCACGAGTTTTCGTACGAGCCTTTAAATTTGCTACCTCAAAATCGATGTTTCGTGGGAGGCTTCCGTCAATTTTCAGCACATCTCACAAAATGCCACGTCTGCCACGGAATCTGCACCTTGTCGCCACTTGACGCAGCCCTGCCAATGCGCCTCGTAAAAAACACGCAACACTACGCGTCTAAAGTGCTGCGCCTGCCACGCAAAATGACGATGGACACGTCCAAAGTGCTGCGCCTGCCACGAAAACTGCAACGCATCTTCTGAAAACGTCGCAAAAGTATTGCGCCTGCCACACACAAGAGACTCATTGTTGCCTGCAACATGTGTCCTTGTCATGAACGTGAAGTGAATGTGTGTCACATGAACGCCGCTATCAAGTTCATTTCAGGGTGGGTGGGTGGGAAGTTATATGATGAGAAGTTCGTCTTGACTCCACTCAAAGTGGGGCAATCCTCACTAATGAGTGGTGTGGAGCGTGAGTTGGATGTGGCCTTAAGTTTGGGCAGCATCCACGCTTATCCGAAGCAGCCATGGGAATCGAACATCTTCTTGAGGCAAGTGTTTGGCGATCCGACGCACTTATCGTCTCCTGCTTTGCCCTCCTTGCGTAGCCTTGTTGTGCCTCCTCCTAGCAAACGTGCAAAGATTGAATCATTGCCGGTGTGTCAGAAGAAGATTGTGGTTCGTGATGCTGTGTATGACCAGACACAGCAGCACGCGGACGCAGAGAGAGCTTCTGCACTGATGAAATGGTGTGACATCTTTATGTTAGATCCTGAGGCTACTCCACCGGGAAAAATGCTCTTGCGATGTGCAGGTTCAGGTGAGTCAGCCATGCGAGTCATGGAGGACCTTTTTAGGAAGAAGGCCACTTCGACAATCAAGCAAAGAGTTGGATCCTTGGGACTTTTCCTGGCATGGTTCAAAGTGCAGAAACCCAGTGACCCCTTCTTCCCCATTGATGAAGAAGCTCTTTACGAATATGCGTGCGACTGCAGGGATCATGGTAAGAGTGCTTCGCGTGTGGAGACTTTGCTGGGGACCTTGAAATATGTTGGAAATGTTTTTCAGTTTCCAGGTGCTCTGGAGGCTGCTGCATCTCCCAGAGTTGAAGGAGCAAGTCACGGCTTGTTCTTGACCAAAGCACCTCGAGCTAGGGCAAAGGAGTTGAGCCCGTCTATGCTATGCTGGCTTGAAGTAGCATGCTTCGCCTTGCCCAGCACTTTCGACCGAGTGGTGGCAGGGCTTTGTATGTTGTGTGCTATGGGCAGAATGAGGGCATCCGACGCTAATAGGCTTCGGCATGCATCCTTGATCGGCCGCTACTATGAAGGTGCCTTGAGCCGGACTAAGACGGCAAAGAGCAAGGAGAAAGCGACATCCTTCTTGCCACTAGGCTGCCCTGCCTTTGGCCTCTTAGGCAGGAACTGGCTGCACGAATTCCTGCTGTCCCGAAGTGAGCTGGGCTTGGATGAAGTACCAAGCTTGGCATCGAGGTCCAATGATGTCGGCTATGTGCTGGTGCCGAGTGCTTCGTCTTTCGAAACAGGTGACAACCTCCCCTTGAAGTCGTCGGAGCTGTCGGACCGCTTGAGGGCTATCTTGGGCCTGGGCTTCAGTCAGCAAGATATAGAGGGAATCAGTAGTCACTCGCTGAAAGCCACTCTTCTTTCCTACATGAATGTCTGGGGAAGTACCTTCGAAGTGAATGAGATTTTAGGCTTCCATGTCAACAAGGAGCATGGTTCAGCCCTAAATTATACCAGAGACGCGTTGAGTCATCCCATCCGGCAGCTGGTGGGCATGTTGGCAGACGTTCATGATGGCCGCTTTGTTCCTGATGCCCCTCGTGATCATGTGTTTCCACAGGCCGATATGATTCTGCCAATGAACCAAGTGTTCGAACAGCATGTTGGGAAATCAGTGCCTGAAGTGGCAAGGATCATGATGGGAGACAGGACGCGCTTCACTGTAGAGGAAGATGCAAAGGCAAATGACAGGCTTGGCAGGATGTTGGTATTAGCAGGCATACCCAGGACAGGGCTGGTGGAGCATCTCAGCTCGACTGAAGAGTATGCCCTGTACCACCCCTCTGTGGGAGTCTGGAACGAAGAAACCCAGGCTGCAAGCAAAGCACAGACCATTGACAGCTCCAGCTCCTCTAGTGAGGAATCGGACAGTGCAAGTGGCTCCTCAAGCGAGGAAGAAGAGCAAAGTCACGCTCTTTTAGCCTCAGTCACTGAGGCTAGTGGTACGAAAGCACCGTCAGGAAGTTGTGACACCATGAGAGCTTTCAGGCATTCAAGAACAAGGATGCTTCATTACGGTCACGTCTTGCACAGTGACAAGACAGGGTGTGGTCGGTTGTTGTCTGAGGCGTATTACGTTTTCTCAGACTCAACTGACCTAGTGTATCCAAAGTGTCAGCATTGCTTTGGGCACTATGTATAGGGCACCAATGTTGTCTCCCAGGAAAAGTTGCATGACAGCTTGCTCTTGAGCACATTGAGGTAATGTGTTGCGATGTGCAACTAGGTTGAGTGACATCTTCTTTTTGAAAACCGATGCAACTCAAATACTCCTGTGGCAGCTGTCGCCCAAAGGCTCTCAAGCGCGCCGGGAAGTCCGGGGAAGAAGTGCGCAGAGAGAAGCAGGACCGTAGTGAACAGGTGAGGGGCAACAAAGCTGTCAAGCAGGTCAAGCCAAGTGAACAGTTTCGCAGACATGTCCACGCAGTCGTAAATTTTTCTTTTGATTTTGTTGTTCTTGGGCATTTAAATGGATGTAGGCCGCTTCAGTGCTTTGAACGAGTGCAGCTTAGTAAGTTGTTTTCTCTGAGTCGTCTTTGATGTGCATGTCTCCTCTCTCTTTCTCTATCTGACTCCAACTTGCGTTGTAACCTGATGTTGTCATTGCATGAGTGGTTGAGACTCAGATCCCGCAGACATGTCACGGCTTACAGAATGTTGGCTACTTAGGTAAAATGTTGGATTCGGCTGCTGCTTTCAAGGATCGTGCTGCCAGCATCGGAGTGACTGCAGCTGAGCTTGCGAGACTAGAGGTGCTCAACCTGGACACCTTTGGGAAGCTGGCATATGGATGCAGCTATGTGCCAGGACAAGCGGACGACCAGCCGCTTCTGACGCTTATAGAGAGAGTGTGTGAAGCTGCGCCACCCCCAGAGGAACGTGTGCCAGTCATTAGACGCCTTTTCTTCGAGAGCTACACATTGGCCAATGCAGACTTGAGGTCGAGAGTAGATCGCAAGGATGATGAGCAACCTCGAAAACTTGCTCAAGCAGAGCGTGCAGCAAGGCACAAAGACCAGCAGGTTCGTCTTGCTGGGTTGGAGCTGGTGGGGGAGTTAGAACCCTCACACGCCCTGGTAGATTTGGTATTCCATATGCTGGAAGAAAACCAATTGCGGTACATCAGGTGGGAACAGTGCACAAAACGAGATCAAGAGCTTCTTGGAATTCGACATGACCCTCTGTGGAAACCTGGTGCAGATGGAGTTGTGCGAGAGGTCAGACAGAAGGAAGAAGCCCTTGCAGACACCAGTTCTGACTTGCACCTGAAGTACTGTTTGCAGCGCAGGAGTCTGGCGCTGGATCAGGCTAGGATCATCGACTACGAAAAGATGGAGCGTTGGTCCAGGACTATGCTGGAAGCTTACTCAGCACTTCCAATCGATGGCTACAAGAAGGTCAGTCTGGATCAAATCCAAAGGGCAGATTTGGAACTCTTCAAATTCCTCATGAAGCACAGCAGGGAAGGAATCCGTCCCAGTGGTGGTGTGGCCCCCCTTGAAGCTATCCTGGATCGTGCAATCACTTCAGCGGAAATTCGACTGCGCCTTGCTCCGTTGCCAGCAGGGTCAGGCAGTGGCATCAAGCGAAAGCATGATGACTTGGAACCGGAGACCGCCAACAAAGCCAAGCACTCGCCGGATGACATTGCCAAGTTGAAACGCACCATCGAGAACCTCACTGGGCAAGTTCGCAATTTGAAAAGTCGTGGATCGTCGAAACAGCCACCAACAGGCAAAGGAAACAAAGGCCTGGGTCGTGGAAGCAAAGGCATGATGGGTCGCTCTTACAAGTCTACGGTGAAAATGCCCCCAGAGCTTGTTGGGCAGTCTCCCATGACAGATCAGGGAGAGCCTATTTGCTACAGCTACAATTTGGATGGCTGTAACGAGGCGGCCCCTGGACAGCGCTGCCCACGAGGATGGCACATGTGCACTCGTCCTGGATGTCAGGCAGCGCACTCTCAGCGCAATCACAAGTGATCTTCACTTGGCTCCTTTGCGCCATCCGTGAAGGAGCCAGATAGTGTCACCAGGAGCATCTTTGACGGCGCTCCAAAGAATGCTGTTTTCACCATAGAACTTTGCGCAGGTTGCGCGCGTCTTTCTGCCTCTCTTGCAGCCAAAGGTTTTAGAGCAATGGCAGTGGATCAGAAGTCCAACAAGCATAAACAGGCTTATGCCACAGTGGCCTTAGACCTTGCTAGTGAAGAAGCGGTAAAATTTTTGCTGTCACTTCTGAAGCAGCCGGGTCGAGTTTTCTATGTGCATGCTGCGCCTCCATGTGGAACGTGTTCTCGAGCCAGGGAGCGTCGTCTCAAGAGAGCAGTGCGTCGCCTTGGAGTGAAGGAGCCTTCCCCTTTGCGGAATGCACAATTCCCACATGGTCTACCCACATTGCAAGGCACTGACTTGAAGCGGGTCACCCTGGCCAACCGCATCTATGCCAACATTGCAACAGTGTTGTCCCAAGCAATCATTGCCGGTGCCTACGTTTCTGTGGAGAACCCTACTCGTTCCTGGATGTGGCAAACGAGTTGGATGAAGCAGCTCATTGAACGATTCAACCTGCGTGCAGTGACTTTCCAACAATGCATGCATGGGGGAAAGCGTGACAAGTGGTCTACGTTTTACACCAACGCGCCCTGGTTGACCTTCTTGGCTATGGAATGTGATGGGCAACACTCTCATCTGCCGTGGGGTGTCACCAAGGATGGCAAAAAGTATAAGTTCAATACTGCAGAAGAAGCGGAGTACCCTCCTGTCTTGTGCGAGCGGATAGCAGCTGCCACCTCAGAGGCAGCCTTGCATGCAGGTGTTCAGGAAGTGGTACCTCTGCCGAAAGCCCCTTCTCGACCAGCCCCTTCAAAGATGGCTGCTGCCGGTCGACAGCCACGTGGAAACCGCCTGCCAGAGGTGATTTCCGAATACAAGAGTACCTTCACCGTGACTTGGCCTTTTGCCAAGCCTCTCAAACTGCCAAGGCTGTTATCCTCTGAGGAAGCAGCCTTCTTTGGCGTGCCCGCTCACACCAAAGCCCTCACATGTGAAAAGCGGCAAGGAGCTGATGATGAGGGCCAGAACCCAATGAAGTTGTGTGCGAAGCTCGCCATCCTGAGGACAGAGGCGGAATTCGTGGAAGAGGCACTGAAGTTGAGTCACCCGTTTGACTCTTCGGAAGCGGTGACAGACGACATCAAGATGTACATCTTTGAAGTCCTCACTTAAGGGCCAGCGGCAATGGCAACCAAGCGGCAGAAAGCCTTGGAATACTATGCCAAAAGAGCTGTAGAACTTCAAGAAGAAGAGGAAAAGCTGCACGCCCAGCTGCCAGCAAATAGAAGAGCCTTGGTTGAGGACAAGAGAGGCCTTCTTTTGGCCGAGATGTGCCGTGATGCTGGTGTCCACGATGATGGTTTAGCAGACTTGCAACTGTCGGGAGCCCCCTTGACAGGGATTTCAGGTGCAACAGGCCTTTTTTCTCCTGTTGAACAACAACCTCCTGCCATGGATGACACCCAGCTCATGAAATCCTCGAGATGGAGCAGGAAGATGGTTGCAGCGAAGGATTCAGGTGTAGCAGATGTCAGCCTGCAGGAGGAGGTGTGGAACATCACCATGGACGAGGTGAAAAGAGGATGGCTCCAAGGGCCCTTGACAGAGCCCCAAGTGCGAAAAGAACTAGGGCCACTTTATGTGGTGTCACCGAGGTTCGGCTTGAGGCAGTCGGACAAAACTAGACCCATAGATGATATGTCGATCAGCTTGGTGAACTCGAGCTTCTCGGCAAGCTACCTTTTGGAATTGGATGGAGTCGATGGAGTGGCAGTTCTGGCAAGGACATTCGCAGGTGCAGTGGATGACAGTGGTACTGTTCGCTTAGCGCTCAGTGATGGCCAAGTCATAGAAGGCGAGCTTCATCCTTCCCTGAACTTGGATGAGGCCAGGAGAATTCTTGGTCGCACCTTGGACCTGGACTCGGCCTACAAGCAGCTGCTTGTGCGTCAGTCATCGCTATGGGCAAGCGTCTTGCAGGTGAGGAATCCAAGTGGTGAGCCTTTTCTCTTCATTTCGCAGGTGCTGCCATTTGGAGTTTCGGCCTCAGTTTACTGCTTCAATAGGTTTTCGAAAGCTTTGCAGATGATTGGTGCTCGCTTATTTTCACTTGCCTGGGTGTGTTATTTCGATGACTTCACGCAGTTTGATTTGGCTGCCATGGGTGACTCTTTGCAAATGACGGCGGAGAAGTTTCTGGATTTGGTGGGCTGGAAATACTCCGTAAAAGAAGCAAAACGAAAGCCTATGTCTCCCATTTTCTCGGTGCTAGGAGTGGATGTGGATCTGAGTGCCAGCAAGTCTGGCTTGGTTTTAGTGCGCAACAAAGAGTCGAGAGTTAACCAGATTCAGCTTGAAATCTCAGAGATTGTAAGCTCCAGAGCCTTCAGCTCCGCTACTGCCTCGTCTTTGCGTGGTCGATTGCAGTTTGCTGAAAGCCAGACTTTTGGGAGAGCTATCAGCTTGTTCATGCGCTCTTGCAACTCCAGAGCTACCGGGGCCAAGCCGGGCTCAAACTTGGATGATGACATGATGAAGGAGCTCCAATGGGCGAAGGGCTTCATAGCAGAAGATTGTCCACGAATCCTGAAAGTTGACCAAAGCAGTGTCAGAGTAGTTATCTTCACAGATGCATGCCTGGAAGACAACGACAGGACGGCTGGCATTGGCATGGTTGCCATGGTGTGTCGTGATGGCATTCCTACCAAAAAGTTCTTCCTCTCAGAGCGTGTGCCCAAGGAAGTGTTGGAAAAGCTTCAAGTGAACACGCCGAAAGTGATTGCTGGCCTGGAGCTTTTAGCTGCAGTGATGGCAGTTGATCTACTCAAAGATTTTTTGGTAGCAAGGCGTGCCTTTCTTTTCATCGACAATGAAGCTGCGAGAGCTAGCCTTCTTTCCATGTGGTCACCTATCTTCACTCATGCTCGAATGCTTCAACATCTTTGGGATTTAGTGAGAAGCAAGTCGATCTTCATGTGGACGTCGCGCGTGCCGTCGCTGTCAAATGTGGCTGATAAACCATCGCGTTTCGAAATTGTACAGCTTGTGGAGGCAGGTTTCAACAGAATGCGACCCAAATGGCTGTAGCCACAAAGTTGTTGTCCCATGTATGCACAAGAGGGGAGTTGCCTGACATGGGTCAATGTTCGATGTGAACTTCATGTTGTGTTGGCAGTGCAAGATGTGTGCACTAGCTACCCATGTAGAATCTTCAATCGTGAAGGATGTGTGGCATTCCCAGCTCAAAAAGGACCAGGCACGTTCAGAGGTTGGGCCTGTTTTTGTGCATGCAAATTGATAGTGTCATGTGGTATGGCAAGAGACTCATTGTTGCCAGCAACATGCGTCCTTGTCATGAACGTGAAGTGAATGTGTGTCACATGAACGCCGCTATCAAGTTCATTTCAGGGTGGGTGGGTGGGAAGTTGTATGATGAGAAGTTCATCTTGACTCCACTCACCTCACCCACCCACCCTGAGTGGAGCCTGCGCTACAGACATTCGCGATCTCCAATTCGTCCACCTTGCTGGACCAGGAGTGTCAGGGGAGTTGCCTGACATGGGTCAATGTTCGATGTGAACTTCATGTTGTGTTGGCAGTGCAAGATGTGTGCACTAGCTACCCATGTAGAATCTTCAATCGTGAAGGATGTGTGGCATTCCCAGCTCAAAAAGGACCAGGCACGTTCAGAGGTTGGGCCTGTTTTTGTGCATGCAAATTGATAGTGTCATGTGGTATGGCAAATTTATTTATTTATCTATCTATCTACCTATCTATCTATCTATCGATCGATCTATCTATCTATCTATCGATCTATCCATCTATCTATCTGTCTATCTATCTATCTATCTCTCTCTCTCCCTATCTATCTATCTATCGATCTATCGATCTATCGATCTATCGATCTATCGATCTATCGATCTATCGATCTATCTATCTATCTACCTATCTATCTATCTATCTATCTCTCTATCTCTCTCTCTCTATCTCTATCTATCGATCTATCTATCTATCTATCGATCTATCGATCGATCGATCGATCTATCTATCTATCTATCTATCTCTCTATCTCTCTCTATCTACCTATCTATCGATCGATCTATCTATCTATCGATCTATCGATCGATCGATCGATCTATCTATCTCACTCTCTCTCTCTCTATCTATCTATCTATCTATCCATCCATCCATCCATCCATCCATCCATCCATCCATCTCTCTATCTATCTATCTATCTATCTATCGGTCTTTATACAGACAGAATGGAGACAATGGTTTAGTGATACGCAGGGGGGGAAGTTTAAATAAAGAAGTAGAATGGAGACCATGGCTTAGTGGAACGCAAGGGGGGGAAGCTTAAATAAAGAAGTAGAATGGAGACCATGGTTTGGTGGAACGCAGGGGAGAGGAAGTTTAAATCAAGAAGTAAAATGGAGACAATGGTTTAGTGGAACGCAGGGGGGGGAAGTTTAAATAAAGAAGTAGAATAGAGACCATGGTTTAGTGAAACGCAGGGGGCGGAAGTTTAAATAAATAAGTATAATGGAGACAATGGTTTAGTGGAACGCAGGGGGGGGAAGTTTAAATAAAGAAGTAGAATGGTAGTTTAAATAAAGAAGTACAATGGAGACAATGGTCTAGTGGAACACGGGGGGGAAGTTTAAATAAAGAAGTAGAATGGAGACCATTGTATGGTGGAACGCAGGAGGGGGGAAGTTTAAATAAAGAAGTAGAATGGAGACAATGGTTTAGTGGGAAGGGGAAGGGGTGGGGGAGCGACGCAGGGGGGGGAAGTTTAAATAAAGAAGTAGAATGGAAGATGAGAAAGAGAAAATGGCTGAGTGGAAACGCAGGAGGGGGGGAAGTTTAAATAAAGACGTAGAATGGAGACAAATGGTTTAGGGAACGCAGGGGGGGGAAAGTTTTTAAATAAAGAAGTAGAATGGAAAAGTTTAAATAAAGAAGTACAATGGAGACAATGGTTTAGTGGAACGCAGGGGTGGGAAGTTTAAATAAAGAAGTAAAATGGAGACAATGGTTTAGTGGAACGCAGGGGGGGGAAGTTTAAATAAAGAAGTAGAATGGAGACAATGGTTTAGTGGAACGCAGGGGAGGGAAGTTTAAATAAAGAAATAGAATGGAGACAATGGTATAGTGGAACGCAGGGGGGGAAGTTTAAATGAAGAAGTAGAATGGAGACAATGGTTTAGTGGAACGCAGGGGGGGGAAGTTTAAATAAAGAAGTAGAATGGAGACCATGGTTTGGTGGAACGCAGGGGGGGGTAGTTTAAACAAAGAAGTAGAATGGAGACAATGGTTTAGTGGAACGCAGGAGGGGGGGAAGTTTAAATAAAGAAGTAGAATAGAGACCATGGTTTAGTGGAACGCAGGGGGGGGAAGTTTAAATAAAAGGAAGAAAGTACAAAGTTTAATATAGGAATTAGGAATTGGAGACAAGTGGGTTTAGGGGAACGCAGGGGGGGGGATAAGTTTTTTAAAATAAAGAAGTAGAAGTTAGAAATGAAGTTTAAATTAAAGAAGATAAGAATGGAGACAATGCTAGAGTGGAACACGGTGGGGGTGGGAACGTTTAATAAAGAAGTAGAATAGAGAACAATGGTTTAGTGGAACGCGGGGGGTAGGGAAGTTTAATAAATAAAAGGTCATGTTTTGTATAAAAAAAGTTTGGAGGACAATGGTTTAGTGGAACGCCAGGGGGGGGAAGTTTTAAATAAAAGAAAGTAGATAGAATTGTAGTTTAAATAAAGAAGTAGAATGGAGACAATGGCTTAGTGGAACGCAGGGGGGGGAAGTTTAAATAAAGAAGTAGAATGGAGACAATGGTTTAGTGGAACGCAGGGGGGGGAAGTTTGGAAGTTTTAAATTAAAGAAGTAAAATGTAGACATGGTATAGTGGAACACGGGGGGCGGGGGACAGTTTAAATAACGACGTATGAATAAGAATATAGGACCATGGTTTCTAGTGGAACGCCGGGGGAGGAAGGAAGGGGAAGTTTAGAAGTTTACAATAACGAACGTTATAAGGAGACAATGGATAGTGCAACGAAGGGGGCGGAAGTTTTAAAAAAGCAGCTAGAATGGAGACAATGGTTAGTGGAAAACGCAGGGGGGGAAGTTTAACTTAAAGAAGTAAAGATGGAGACCATGGTTTTTGGAACGCAGGAGGGGGAGTCAGGTAGTTAAATAAAGATAGAGAATGGGACCATTGTATGTGGAACGCAGGAGGGCGGGAAAGTGTAAATAAAGATAGAGATGGAGACAATGGGTTTAAATAGTGGAACGCAGGCGGGGGAAGTTAAATAAGAAGTAGAATGGAGACCATTGTATGGTGGAACGCAGGAGGGGGGAAGTTTAAATAAAGAAGTAGAATGGAGACAATGGTTTAAATAGTGGAACGCAGGCGGGGGAAGTTTAAATAAAGAAGTAGAATAGAGACCATGGTTTAGTGAAACGCAGGGCGGGAAGTTTAAATAAAGAAGTAGAATGGAGACAATGGTTTAGTGGAACGCAGGGGGGGGAAGTTTAAACAAAGAAGTAGAATGGAGACAATGGTTTAGTGGAACACAGGGGGGGGAAGTTTAAATAAAGAAGTAGAATGGAGACCATGGTTTGTTGGAACGCAGGAGGGGGGTAGTTTAAATAAAGAAGTAGACTGGAGACCATTGTATGGTGGAACGCAGGAGGGGGGAAGTTTAAATAAAGAAGTAGAATGGAGACAATGGTTTAGTGGAACGCAGGGGGAGGAAGTTTAAATAAAGAAGTAGAATGGAAGTTTAAATAAAGAAGTAGAATGGAGACAATGGTATAGTGGAACGCGGGGGGGGAAGTTTAAATAAAGAAGTAGAATAGAGACCATGGTTTGGTGGAACGCGGGGGGGAAGTTTAAATCAAGAAGTCAAATGGAGACAATGGTTTAGTGGAACGCAGGGGGGGGAAGTTTAAATAAAGAAGTAGAAGAGAGACCATGGTTTAGTGGAACGCAGGAGGGGGAAGTTCAAATAAAGAAGCAGAATAGAAACCATGGTTTAGTGGAACGCAGGGGGGGGAAGTTCAAACTAAGAAGTAGAAGAGAGACCATGGTTTAGTGGAACGCAGGAGGGGGAAGTTCAAATAAAGAAGCAGAATAGAGACCATGGTTTAGTGGAACGCAGGGGGGAAGTTCAAATAAAGAAGTAGAATGGAGACCATTGTATGGTGGAACGCGGGGGGGGGTGAGAGTTATTAAAGGGATAGGGTCGCAGGTGACCAGATAATAGGGTCGCAAGTGAGCGGGTAGAATAGGGTCACAAGTGACCGGATAATAGGGTCACAAGTGACCATGGTACCACACTGGAGGGTCATGCCTGCCTCTGCGTCGTAAGCATATTGGGCAGAAACTCCAATTAAGCCTCTGTACTGAAGCGATCTGAAGCGTGAATGCAAGTTTGGACGAACACAAAGCTGTTGCAACGGCGCCATGTTGTGGACTTTTGCTTATGGGAGTGCCTCTTAAAAGGATATGAACTCATATCAAAGCATCAATGAAAAGACCAAACTGATTCAATGCATTATGCGACATGACATTCAAGATCACATTTTATCAAAGCATCAATGAAAAGACGAAACTGATTCAATGCATTAGTCGACATTACATGCAACAGCACATTTTATCATCTCATATATATTGGGCAGCTTGGCAGCTGAAAGAGTGCATCAACACATGAATGACTTCTTCTAGCTTCCAAGCCCGTAGAGAGATAGAGAGAGGGTCATGGCGGCCTCTTTCTGTGAAAAAACCTATTTTTGCCATTATCAGTAAAATCCATAAACTGAGATGCATCAATGACCTTTTGCACCCATCACTGAGAGCTGTTTTCCATCAAAGGGTGGTGTAGCCCTCCAAGACATTTTTTTTGATGGATATCACCAACAAACCCTTCTGATTGTCTGTGTTTCTGCCAAGGCTTCATTATAGGAAGCTCTTTTCCTTTTGAACATCACTGTAGGAATCGTTGGAATCTGGTATGAGATCTACTACGGTAGCATGGCATTTTTTTTGGCGGGCTATTGAGTACTGGGTAGATGGG